GGCATTGAAGGAGAAAGGGAGGTAAACCATGGCGTGTCCTCTCTCTCTGGGTGTCCCGCCTTACCCATGGCACACCGTCAAGAATATCAAAGACTGGCCCTGGGAGGGGATGTCCCCGGCCTACCCATGGAGAGTACCCTCCTCAGTGTTGCAGAAACAGGCTCACCAAGATGTGCACTCCTGCGGGGCAAAGTTCAGCTCAAGGTTTATGATGTGACAAAAACAAAATTCACTATGAAAATGTAATTTTTAGGGGCTTTTTAAATTTGCCAAAGGGTACATGTGCTCACCATAGACAGACACAGAGAGAGAAAGGAAAATGAGAAAGTAACCCCCAGGGGAAATGGTCGTGCTGCAATCCCTTCTCCTCCATCTCTTCCTCCTTTTGGGATTCTGGGCACATTTGCACCTGACTTTAGCATATTTCTCAAGCCACCTGGTCTGGGACTGGAACTACTGGTCAGTCATGCGGGATCCCGCCATCCCAGTCACCATGCCACCAACTGGCCTGAAAACAGTTTAAAAAAAAACACGAAATGCAAAGACAAGTGAGTAAACTGTGGACTTCAACACATTATTGAATTATAAGCTCAGTGTTTAAAAATGTTGAGACAATAAATTACTTATACTGAATTTTTCCAAAAGACTTTTTATGTAAAGTGTTCATTGAAACATTACATGCAGAAGATTTCATAAAATATAGTATACAGTTAGAAGAATTTTCATTACATGAACACACACAGAACAAGAGAGAGAATGTCGGGGGAACCAGCAGTTAGCGTAATGGCTATGTCTCTGGACTCCCACATAGTCGACCACGGTTCATGTCCCGGACCCAGTGGCTTAAAACTCACACCGGGCACGTGTGCGTGCGTGCCCAAGATCCCGAGAGGAGAATGGAGGAGAAGGGATTGCGGTGTGACCATCCCCCCTGGGGGATGATTTCTTGCTTTCTGTCTCTATGTCTCTCTGTCTTTCTGGCGAGCGCACGCACCCTATAGCGAAAACCTCTCCAAAAAAAAAGAGAGAGGATGTCGGGCCAGCCGTGCAGTGCAGTGGTTAAGCACTGTGAGGGGCAGCTGGATCCTACATGGCTGGAAAGAGTTCGGGTACTGGTCCCACAGCTTGGAAAGCACACGAGGCACACACACGTGTGAGTCCAGAATGAGGATGAAAAATTGGAGGAGAAAGGATTGCAGTGTGACCAGACTGTCAGGGGATAGTCTCTCTCAGATGCACACACACACATGCGCGCCATCTAGAATTTGAAAATTAATCAAATAAAATGTTTAAAAAGAGAAAGAATATCAGCAGTATCCCAAACTCTCTTCAAGTCCCCTTCTAGTTACTGCCCTTGACTCCCCTCCCAAGGGCAAACACTACCCTGGCCCCTAACACCATAGGTCAGTTTTTCAGCCTTTCAATGAAGCTGTGCTTTTCTACTCAACAATGCCCAGAGGAGTCTCAGACGAGGCAAATGTCTCCTTGCCCTGGGGCTCGCCCAACCACACACGCAAATACATGGTGACACCTAAAGTCCTAGTCTTCTTGGGCCTCTTCCCACACAAGCCTTCTAGGTAAAGAGTAGAAGTATCCAAGATAACAGGACCATTTAAAAAATATCAATGTTGGGGCCAGCAGGTGGCATGCTAGACTCCCACATGGCCGACCATGGTTTGAGACCCAGACACAATGACTTAAAACTCACACAGGGCATCTGTGTGTGCATGCCCAAAATCCCAGGAGGAGAATGGAGAAGGGATTGTGGCATGGCCATCCTTCCCCAGGGAGGGATTTTTCACTTTCCCTCTTTTTGTCTCTGTCTGTCTCTCTCCAGTAATCACACGCACCCATGGCAAAAACTTTTTAAAAAAGAAAGGAAGGAAGGAAGGAAGGAAGAAAAAGTAGTGCTGCAAAATATTCTTCCTCAGCTCACGGATGACTAAAAGAATAAACCAGGGTGTGATAGTTAGGCACTGGACTCCCACACGGCTGACCGTGGTTTGAGTCCCAGACCTAGTGACTCAATCATTTTGGCCACGTGTGCATGTGTGCTCACAATCCCAGGAGGAGAATGGAAGAGTAGGGATCGCAGCATGGCCATCTCCCTGGGGAGAAATTTCGCACTCTCCCTCTCACTGTCTCTCTCTGTCTCTTTTCCAGTGAGCACATGCACCTTATAGCAAAAAACCTTAAAAAAAAAGAGTAAAGAAAGAAAGAGAGAAAGAAAGAAAGAAAAAAAAAAAGAGCAAGAGAGACAAATAGACTTTGTTTGGATCCCAACTTAAGTAACTCTAAAATAAAACAATGGGAAAGTCTGAATATTGACTGGATATTAAATATGGAATTCATCTTATTAGAGATGATAATAATATTGTTTCTGTTAATAAAAAGAGTTCTGATCTCTTAGAAACCGATACTGAAGTATTTACAAATGAACCAATAAGGAAGCAACCCTGTGGCCTGGTGGTTTAGGGAGCCAGATCTCACACAGCCAACCATGGTTCAAATTCCAGCCCCGGAGGCTTGAAAAACACACCAAGCACATGTGCATACATGCCCCAAATCCATAGTGGAGAAATGGAGGAAAAGGGATTGCAGCATGACCTTCCCCATTGGGAGGTGCTTTCTCCCTCTTCCTCTACCTCTCTCCGTCCGACTAGTACACATGTCTTCTGGCAATTTTTTAAAAAGAAAGGAAGAAAAAATAAATAATATGAGGTGTGGAGTTTGCTTTAAAATAATGGAGCAGGGAGTAGGAAAGTTTAGGTGAAAAAAGTAATTTGCTTTGTTTTGTTTAGTTTTCTAGTTGCCAAAGGGTGCATGTATTCACCAGAGAGAGAAACAGAGAGGGAGAAAGCACCCTGCAATGGGGTATGGTCATGTCGCAATCCCTGTCCTCCATTTCTCCATCTCCAGGACTTTGGGCATGGCCTTACACACATGCCCAGTGTGTTTTTTCAGCTGCTGGGGTTGGGATTTGAACTGTATTGGCTATGTGAGATTCAGCTCCCTCAACCACTAGTCTATGGGGCTAGGCCAACCCAGCTATTTGTTGATAATTGGTTTGAGTTTTATCTTTCTTTCTTCCATGAGTGAGAGAGAGAGAGAGCATCCCCACCAGGGTCTTGATTCCATGCTCCACCCCAGCCTCCGCTAGACCCAGACATGGGCATGCCTGGGCCCAGCGGACCCAGGGCAGTCTCCAGACTTGGCCCAGGAACCTTTCCCATGTGGCTGCAGAGCATAGGGTTTTACAGCTGTGCCACCATCTGGCCCCCCATTAATAATACCTGGGTTTCACTATATTATTGTATTTTTGTGTATGTTTGAAAACTTCCATTTTAAAAAAAAAAAGGCAAGGAAAAAGAAAGAAAAAAGAAACCATCCAATATGAATCAATTTATCAGCCATTCCTGACAGGTTCGGGTAACAGGTCTCGGCCATTAACAAACCCTGTGACTTTCATCAAGTTGCTCAGTATCTCGGGACCTCAGCTCGCTCATCCATAGCTGTGGCCTTGAGGTATGATCTCTCTCCAGGTCCTACAGAGCCCGGGAACCGTGGCCCCTCCAGAGGATCCTCAGGGCATTGGGGAAGCAAGGACTCAACCCGCAGGGCAGCGGGAGCTTTAACCTCAGCTCTGACACTCATCTGCATGGAACCTCGGACACAGCCCTTTCTATGGTTCAATCTCCTTACCTATAAAAATG